TAATTGGAGGGTGACTCGATCATGAGAGTAACAATTAGGCCAATAAACTGCTAGTTATACCATAACTACAATTATTATAAGCTAATTTATTATTAGCATCTTTCTTTACCGGAGGCAAGTCCTAGGGGCAAAGGAGCGAAGACATCTCAGCTGTATGTGTTCTAAATCGAGCAAAATACTAATTTCTATCCATAAGTAGACTGCATTGCTAGTTGAAAGGTGCTATTGTTTGAGATAGATGTTGCCGAGAAGAAACCTTGCTTTGAACAATTCCAAAAAGGTCAAAGATTTACAGGGTTTGAGTTTGAGTTATGGAATGAATTGGTGGCACTTTTCGTTGTTTATAAAATAATCTGAATGTCTTTTATTTGATGCCATTTTTGACGCTAATAAAACGAAGGGCATGGAACTTCCTTTCTACTTTTTTATTATGAATAAATAAAAATTCAGGATGGATCCCCGTTCATTTCAATGGGTTTCACCGTATGCCCATTCTTCTGAGTTATTACGTGAGCATCAGCGGCCGACTGTTCTTCAGCATACGCAATTTGATCACTTCGAGTCAGCGTCCAGTTCCAACTTCTTTTCTCCATTTAGTATCACATCAAGTTGGTTGCTCATCTTGGTTTTTTTGTGGAAGAAGTTGAAATGATGTGGGCTGTTCAGGTTTTCCGTTTCAAGAACTTGATTATCGTCTTCACGATGGACCAGCCATGATTCATCCACCAAGCATGGCTGAGCCTACGGTAGCTGAGCCAGCACCAATGGAAACAGCCGATTTGCAGAAGGATATCCCAGAGCTCAAACCATTTTTGCAATCAAGAAGGTTTGTATCAGATCAATCCAAATTTAGATCTTTCAATCATGACTTTTTTTCTATAAAACTCAAATTATAGGGGGCATTCTGAAAGTTAAAATTCTGTCCCCGAAGCTCTCATTATCTCTGCAATACGAAGGAGAAATAGGAAATAAAACCCTCTGATAAAGTTAGGCGTAGACAGGGAAACTTCAAAAAGCTGATTTTTCAAGATCAAATTCAATCTCACTAATATGTTCGATAAGTTCAAGCTTTTTTTCACTCAAAAATACTTTAAAATTCAAAAGTTGAGCAACATTTTACATAGCA